ATTAACTAAATATTTAACTTGTAAACTAAATATTTAGTTTATAAACTGACATTTATAAATGTATGAATCATATGGTGAAAAACTGACTTTGAAAAATAAATCTGTTCTTTTTTTTCTTATAAAGAAGCCTAAATAAAACAAAAGTACTGGTGTTAATTTCTGACTGTGTAACTATAAGTATAATACAGGGAAGGTGGACGACTTGTGTGGTCAAAAACACTGTTTTACCAGCTGAGCAAAGCAGAAAACAGCTGCTGTTTATAAAAATTAAACCTTCAGTTCAGGTCAGAAATCGATGATGCTGTAATTATGTTTTCTATCTTTTTATTTTTCTGCTACTTTAAGTCACCAACAGTTGCAGTCCAGTGAGATACTAAGTTTAGGAAGCAGAATGAGTTTTAGCTTTTGAACCTTTTAGTCCCAAACCAAGGCAACAACCAACCAAAACCATCTGACTTGACAAGAAGCTGCTGGATCAGATTTGTTTCCATAATAATTAATTTGGATCAAATTATATTTCCATTCAAAGATAATTTAAAGACTGAGACAGGCGTCACTTCTTTGACCTGTATAAATAATGAGAATGGACTCTGGAATGTGAGTCCTCGATAGTTTAGGTCAAGACTTACAGAGCCTGGGGGGACATGGAGACATTTTTGTTCTTTTGTGTTACCTCGAAATATCTTTGTGTTACCTCGAAATATCTTTGTGTTACCTCGCAAAATCTTTGTGTTACCTCGCAATATCTTTGTGTTACCTCGCAAAATCTTTGTGTTACCTCGCAAAATTGTTTTGTGTTCCAACGCAAATGTTTGATTTGTACATGAACTGAATTAAATCAGACTTTTATTTTGAAACATCCAGTTACCAAAACAGGATGTGTCGCCACAAGTTCATGAAATTGACATTGATGTTGTGTGGCTGCACTGTGTTAAATATGAACATATGACACACTTCCATGTGTGTCTGTGTGATATATTCATTGTGAAGTTGTATTAAAGCAGTAGCTAACTCACTAATGGTGAACATGTGAGTTTGTTAATAAACCAGCAGCACAACAGTGATAAAGGACTTTTGCGATGCAAAAAGAAAAAAAACCTCCCATGTCCCCTCGCAGGCTCCGTAAAAACTAAAGATCAGGCAAAAAACCAAAAAACAACTCTTGTGTTGAGAATTACACAAACAAAACTGTAACACAAACAGGAAAAAAAGTTGTTTTTTCTTGAAAAGCTCTTTCAGTTTACATCCCATGAACTGATCATAAATAAATAGATGTGTACATGACAATAAATTTATAATTTACTTCTATATTTCACATGGCGCCTCTTGTACCGGCCCAACATGTCCAGTATTTATCAGTCTGGACACGTTCCTGAAGGGTTGAACAGGTTTTTTGGGAACATTGTTGAGTCGATGAGACAGCTGAAGCCTTTCGTCTAATCTGAACCTCAGATTACAACAAACAATAAGCTCAACTCAGTGTGCCTGAAACAGGAATACAACTACTGACCATCAAAAATGCACATTAACATGACTTCAGATCATGAGAAATAAGTCACGCACTCATTGCAAGCAGTGTTAATCTGTAACATGGGTCTAATTTCTCTGTGACTTTCAGATTAAATTAAAACAAACGTTTCTTTCAGTATTTCTGTTTTTAATACCAAAGTCTGAGCAGATTCTCACAGAAAGAGGCAAAGGGAGGAGAGCTCAGCAGGCTGGCTTCTGCCAAACTCACAGTGGACCAACAGAACCAGAACAGGTCTGGTCTCAGCTCAGACCCTGAAGGAGCGAGCAGAAAAAAAAAATCATCTAAAGAAAAAACACAGCAGCCTTTCCAAAGCTCTCAGTCGAGGCAAACGTAGGGCAGGATGTTCAGTCTGCTCTCATCCCCATGAGGGTCCAGTGTTATACACTCTGTCCAGTCGTACCAGGTGCCCTGGGTATCATAACAACCATTGACTCCAGGCCAGTTCTGTGTGTGGATCCGGTCCAGGTCAGCACTGCTCACCTCTCGACTCACACCTGGTAAATCACCTATGATGTTGTACTTCTGTAAAACGTGTGTTTTCCTCAACTCCTTGGTCTCTTGTTCCTCCTTCTTCAGGTACTCTGACATGAAGAAGTGGGCACTGGGAGCCTGCACACCTGAGGAGGTGAGCAGGTTGCTCTGAAGGTTCAAGTAGGACTGGATGATCTCGTTTCTGGACAGCTCCTTCCAGTTGGTCTGGTGGAAGGGGCTGGGGCTGGGGGCTGGGGCGGAGGTGGTGGCAGTGGGCTGTGGTACGGGGGCTTCAGTTCTCTGCCTGGACTCTGTGGGCTCTGGAGTGCTGCTGATCTCTGTTTGAGACAGTTCTTTATGCACTAGAGGTTTGATCTGACCTGTGACCGGGTCGAACGTCAGTCTGCGTTCTTTTAAACGCACAGGCTTAGTCGTGTCCTCTAGTTTCTGTCCGTCCAGGTTCACAGAGTAGTCTCTGGATCGGTACTTTCTTCTTTTATGCTCAGAGTTTGGTACCACGGACCCGTCGGTGTCGTCAGACACAGCAACGCTCCCATCGAACGGTGAGCGGTGTAGCTCCAGGTTCTGCTGCAGAAGAAAGAGGGAGGGGGAAAGTGACGGGGACCCCAGAGATCCAGGGATGTCTGGAGTCGGGTAATGAGGAGGGACGTCTGTAGGTTTGTGAGACGACTGAGGCAGCTTCTCAATGTACGACGCTGGGCCTGGAGAGGACAGAGGCTGGGACAACGACAGGGGGGAGTCTCTGGAAGTGGGGCTGGGGATGGGTGTTCCCTTCGCTGCGTAAGCTGAGGAACGCTTGGAGTCCTGCTTTAAGCTCCTGGGACTGGAGGTGAGACTGCGAGGACTTCTGCTCTGGTAATAACCCTCCCCTCCTTCCTCCAGCTTCGCCTGCTGCTGCATCACAGCCACTTTGATCAGAGACGAGGTGCTGGGGGGCTTGGCCATGCCAGGAGAGCTGGGCCGGGGCTTCACAGCGTTCACTGGAATTCTGTTCACTTTGTCATTTTCCACATGTTCTGTTCGAGACGTGTCAGGAGACGGGACGGCCCCGGGGTCCGGCAGACCCTCTGGACTGCCTGCAGTGCCATTGGTGGGTGGAGGGGTGACACAATGATCACTGGCTGACAGTTTGAGGATCTTCTCAGGTAAATGGTACGTGTCCTTGTGCTCGGCYCGCCTCTTACGGCTGCCTGATTTCTCAGCTTTAGGTGAGTATGTGTTGTGAACATCGTTCCTGGTCTTGACCTCGGGCAGGCCTTTCCCAGACACAGAAAGGTCTGCAGGAAACGGTTCTGCTCTGCAGGGGTGAGAACTGCCGTTGGTAGACCCGGGAACACTCGCAGACACGGGCTCGATCAGTTTCTGCCAGTTTCTCAAAAGTTTCTTGGCACGTTTAGCAAGGTCTTCATCCTTGGTCTTCTTCCTAACATCGTTGATTAATTTACCAAGTCGAGTTTCCTGGAAAACAACGTGTCAGAGAAAACACAAATCATCACGAGTACTACATGAAGTAACAGAGTATGACGTTTAAATTCTTACCTCAAGAGCTTCTTTGGTAATGGGATACTTCTCAAGACAAGCAATTACTTCCAACACAACTACCATGTTGCATATCTGCAACAAAAAAACAAGTTTCCATAACTTTTATTACAAATAGGAACACTGCAAAAACAGGGTTCCTACAGTTTAAGACTTTTTAATGCCAACTGAAATTAAATTTAAGACCAATTTCATAATAAACACAAAAATGACAAAAAAAAAACTGTAGCAGAAACTCATGGATCAAAGTATTTCTGGTTGAAGTATTCAAATATTGACAATAGACCAATTGTTTTTATTCAGATCTGTTTTTTGTCAAATATAGCAGAAACATTTTTATCAGTCAGTTTAACGACCTAAAATGTGTAGTTTTAGGGCCCACAGTGGGGCCTTAACCACAGCTTGATGAAACCTTAAAGTGTCTGTGACGTCAAAGTTTGTAAGAACAGTKAATGCATTTATGAAAAAACAACATTATTAACATTTTACAAATTTCACAGATGGACAGTTGTTGAGATATTTGCATCTAACAGGAAGTGATGTCAAAGAGGAATATCTGCATGTAAATATAATAAATTAATTAATGTTACCAATTATTTTAATATTTGAGATGAATTACAATCATCCTATTTACAATGTGTTCACATTTTTAAGACTTCTGAAGGACTGATTTAAGACTTTTTAAGGCTAATTAAGGCCTTMTTTTTGGATCGATGAATTCAATGACTTTTAAGACTTTTTAAGGATCTGCAGGAACCTTGAAAACCTGTCCGTCTAACCAAGTTTTAAACCTTATATCAGCCAAAAAGTCTTTTTGATCTTGTTTTCAGACTGATTTACTAAACAAGAACTGATTGTGTAAGAATAATCATCTTGTTTTCAGAATGTGTAAGATTATTTGTCTTGTTAGTCTGAAAATTTGACTCTAATTAAGTCAAACATTTCTGCCAGTGGAGGAAGAACATTTTACTTGGTAAGATTCTTGAAATACTTGATTTGACTCAATTTTTTATTATTTCAAGAATCTTACCAAGTAAAATGTTCTTCCTCCACTGGCAGAAATGTTTGACTTAATTAGAGTCAAATTTTCAGGCTAACAAGACAAATAATCTTACACATTSTGAAAACAAGATGATTATTCTTACACAATCAGTTCTTGTTTAGTAAATCAGTCTGAAAACAAGATCAAAAAGACTTTTTGGCTGATATAAGGTTTTAAACTTGGTAAGATGGACAGTTTTTACAGTGTAGCAGTTAAAACAACACTGGGAACTGTGGTGAACAAAAACCTGCTGGTTTCTTCTTCACATTGATCTTCATGTACACTGCTCTGAGACAACATATGTTGGGACTTGGTGCTGTATAAATAAACTGAATTTAACTGAAAATAAAGGATAAATTCCCTGAATTATAACTGTAATCAGACCACACCTCCTATTTATACTGTAACAAACTGTACCAACCATTTATATTCCCACTAAGGTCCAACATGTAGAWGGACATTTATCTTCTCTAGTTTTAGTTTCTCTCGCTGTCTCCATGTTAAACTTACATTATACAGTTTAAAATCTTATTTCTAACATACAAAGCTGTAAAAAAACCAAAGTCCCATTTATTTAGTGTTTTCCTGACAGCGTTTTGCTCAAACTGTGGGTTTCCTTGTGGTTCCTACAGTTTCTAAAGCAGACTGGGACTGAGGCAGAGCTGACCGTACAATTCATCAGATTAATTTATGATAAACAGTATTTTAATCCAAAATCTGTTCAATTTATCAAAATGTACCAGTACTCCACAATCGACCCATTCAGAGACCTGCCTCCTAATTAATTTGATTTAAATATGTTCATGTTTTCCTCCACATTTTTGTCCAGATATTATTAACTTGTTTTATTGTTCAGATTGCACAGTCTTCATACTTTGATGGTTGTGCAGCTTTTATACTGTTTTGTTCCAAATGTTTGTGTATCCTGTTCTGATTGTGTATATTTTAGTTTTGCCTGATTGTACAGCACCTTGTGAATCTATTTCTATGAAAGGTGTTGTATAAATAAAACTTTACTTAAACTTTATTTTAATCACAACTTTTCCATGTAAATAAATAAATGTGACCCATCGTATCAAAACTAGGATTAAGTCCAAAAGTCGAATGTAGAGAAAAAGGCAGATTTAGGGTTTTGATTTAAACGTGTGCAAAAACTGCATTTAGTCAAGAAATAATGAGTTAATAATGTTTTAATATATTATTTAAATGAAATGTCTAAAACAGAGGTGTTAGACTCCAGTCCTCCTATCCTGCATGTTTTACAGGTTTTCCAGCTCCAACACACCTGGTCCAGTGCCTGAATGAACTCTTCAAACTGGGCAGAAGCCAGTTAATCAGCCAGTCACCAACATCAGGTGTGTTGGAGCAGGACTGCAGCCTGAAACACTAAAACAACCCTAAAAACTGTTCAAGCATTTTTTGATAAATAGCAACAAAATGCTTTGAAATTTTTTCCTGTGAGCAATGTTTTTGTTTCTTTACAACTGGGAAATCATAATATACAATTAATATTGACATCAAAAATTACTCAATTTACATAAAATTAGGATTCAGACCAAATATTTATGTATTATTGTAACCAACAAGACAAATTAAGTCATATATATGGATTTAATTATGATATCAGGATGATCCAGGTGTCAAAATGTAGCTTTTAAAGACAAGAATCTGAAAATGTAATAATTTGATTTAATCCTCATTTTGTTAAGCTGGCTCACAGATAAAGCTCCTACAGTTTTTTGAAGACAAAACGAMAATTGAAAACAACAATTCAACACAGCATTAGGAAAAATAAGGCATAAAAACACCTTAGTGTTAGTCTTAAAGTGCACATTGTGTTAACAAACAGTGTTTATATGTGTGTTTGTGAGGTTAGCAGGTGATCAGTTCAGATACGCAGCAGTTTAAGCTGCTTTAGCTACAACTGAGCTTCAGCTGAGGATGTTTCCGTTGCTTTTAGCTGTTCAGATCTACAACACATCGTTCCGAGCTTCAAACTACGGGATTTAACTAAATGTTGTTATTTAGGAAACCGTACAGATAAAGTTTGTGGTAAAGAAACATTCTTTGAGACAATGACTGGATTGTTCGTTCAAACGAAACCTGCTTTAGCGTCGAAGCTAGCAGCTAGCATGCTATGTAACGGTAGACTCCTGTCTGATCAAGGCTAAAGGTTAGCTACGTTAGCCTGTAAGCTAGCTGTCAACTCCCCGTGCCGTTGTGTCACCGCGGCGGTCGACACGTCGGTGCGGACACACACAGTTTTATTTTAACAGAATAAAACGCGGCAGCAGCTGCTGGTCCCACCGCTGACCGAGCTGCCTCAGACTGCACATAAACAAGCTGCCGTTAGCTTTAGCATGGCTCACATTGCTCTGACTGTCAACGGCCTGCAGCAGCCGGTCCTTCATCTGCTGCGGGCTTGCTGGGACCGTGGTCATTGCCTGTTCGCTGCGATCCGGGGGATGGAGGGAGGAATCCTCCAAAACGACAGCCCGGGGACGGTACTGACTCAAACTCCGACTCGGGAACACACCGGGCACCCGGACAGCATATTTTCTGTAGCATGTACGGTACACGGCTCGGTTCGTCTCGCATGAAGTACGAAGTTTCCCCGCTGCCTCGGCTGATGCCTGCTTCGGCACTCCTCTAACTCCAGCTGCTGGATGTCTCCACGGCCTCCTGCTGCATGCTGGGAAACGGCCTCTGCGTCATGACGTCTGTACGTAACCAAGGGAACGTGCTTCTTCTTCTTCACTTATTCTGTTGGAGGTTGGCGGAACACTGTAAGGTGCATTACCGCCACCTACTGGTGGAGAGTGTGGACTGGATCAAAACAAAACAACAAAACACAACAAAACAAAACAAAAAATAAACTAAACTAAAACAAAACAAAACAAAACAAAAACAAGCAAACAAAACAAAACAAAACAAAAACAAAACAAAACAAAAACAAAATAAAACAAAAACTAAAATAAAACAAAACAAAAACACAAACAAACAAAACAAACTAAACTAAACTAAACTAAACTAAACTAAACTAAAACAAACAAACAAACCAAAAACAAAAACAAAAATAAAAATAAAAACAAAAACAAAACAAAACAAAAACAAAAACAAGCAAACAAAACAAAACAAAACAAAAACAAAACAAAACAAAAACAAAAACAAGCAAACAA